CTCTCTCTCTCTCTTTCCTTTTCCCATATCATCAATTATTCCATTGTCCCCTCACTTTGGCATTTATAAGTACTACACGTAATAAGGAATCATATTAGGTGCTAGGAATCCAGATATGAAAGGACAGTCTCTGCTGTCAATGGACTAAGACTAGTTAATGAGAAAGAAGAATAAAAAACTAATAACAGTATTGGTGGAAGAGCAGTCATGAAAGGCTCTTGCAGGAGGTAGACTGAGCTATTTGGCGTACCATGTTACTTTTAGGATCAGCTTTTACAATTCTGTGAAAAAGACAATCAATATTCTGATAGAGATTACATTGAATCTGTAGATTACTCTGGGGTTATAGCTATCTTGGAAATATAAAATTTTCCAGCGTATAAACATTGGGTGTCTCTCCATTTTTTAGGTGTCAAGTACTTTTGAAACATCTTGTAGTTTTCTGTGTATATGTCTTTTGCCTGTGATTAAATTTGTTCCTAAGTATCTCATTCTACTTGATGCTATTACAAATGGAATGATTTTCTTAATTTTCAGGAAGTACAGTTGTTCACTGCTAGTGCTATTGATACTATATATGGCCACTTTGCTGAATTTCCTTATTACCCTCAGTAGTTTTCTTATGGGTTCTTTGGGGTCTTCTACATATGGGACCATGTCTTCATTAAACAGAAATAGTTTAGTTTCACTTATTCCTTTCCAATTTAGATGCCTAGCTAAGAGCACCAGGACAATGTTGGATAACAATAACAAAAGTTTCATTCTTGCCTGGTCCTGATCTTGGGGGTGAAATGCTCTCTATGAGGTTGAGAAAATGTCCTTTCTATTTTTACTTTATTTGAGTTTTTTCCTCATGAAAAGGTGATGGATTTTGTCAAATGCTTCTTATGTATCTATTAGATTATCTGGTAGGTTTGTTCCTTGTCATTCTAGTAATGTGGTGAGTTTCACTGATTGATAGAATTTCGTATATTAAGCCACTCTTAATGCTGAGATAAATCCTATGTGGTTATGCTTTATAATCCCTTTACTATACCACAGGATTTTGTTTGTTTGTATTTTGTAAAGGATTTTTCCATCTATATACATGGTGATATTGCTCAATAGTTTTGTTTTCTTTTGATGTCTTTGCCTGACTTTGTTATCAGGGTGGTACTTTTTCCTTTTTCATGCTACTGGGAATTGAACCTAGATCCTTCACACTGAGCTACATCTCCAGTCTTTTTTTTTTTAAATTTTGAGACAGGGTCTTGGTAAGTTCCTGCACTGCCTAGGCTGGGCTTGAATTTGGAATCTTCCTACCTCACCCTCCCAGAATGCTGGGATTATAGATGCGTGCCAACATGCTCAGCTAGTCTCTTTATTCATTAAATTTTTTAGTAGCTCATATTAGTTAAATAGAATAATGTGTTTCGATTTGGCATATTTGTATGTGAATATAACATAGTTTGATTATTTCTACCATCCATTATCACTCTTTGTCTTTTCTTTCTCCCTCCCTTTGATTCCCTTCCTCTTCCCTAAGTCTCCCTTCTACTTTCACATAATCTCTTGTCCTAGGCTCTATGTAGAAGAAACACATGAGTTACTTGTCTTTTTGAGTCTAGCTTATTTCATTTAACATGATGATCTCCAGTTCCACCCATTTTTCTGAAAATGCCACGATTTCATTCTTTATGGCTGAACACTACTCCACTGTGCACACAATACCACATTTTCTTTGTTCATTAATCAGTTGATAGACACCTAGGCTAATTCCATGGCTTAGCTGTTATGAATTTTGTTGCAGTATATGTGGGTATGCAGGGATCTGTTTGTACACTAACTTTTTTTCTTTCTTTCTTTTTTTTTTACTATGTACTGAGCAGTGGTATATTGGGGTTAAATGATAATTCTAGTTTTAGCTTTCTGAGGAAGCTCAGTACTGATTTTCATAGTGGCTGTATTAATTTACATTTCCACTAACAATGTATAGGAGTACTTTTCCCCCTGCATCTTCATCAGCATTTATTACTTTTTGTATTGTTGGTAATAGCCATTCTGAGTGTGGTGAGATGGTATTTTATTATAGTTTTGATTTGCATTTCCCTAATGTCTGAAGATGTTGAACATTTTTTTCATATACCTATTGGGCATATATATATATATTTTTTTTCTTCTTTTGAGAAGTATCAGTCTAGTTCAGTGTTGGCAAACCTTTTAGAGATCGAATGCCCAACTACAACCCCAAATTCACTTATGTATCGCAAAGTGCCAACACTGCAATTGAACCTGAATACTGAAGTTTTAGTTTAGAAAAAATAACTGTTACCCTATGCTTGACTGCTAGGGCAACTTGGTTCACGGGCCAACAGAGAGGGCTCAGTGTGTCTGCTGTGGCATGTGCATCAGCTCTACCATCACTGGTCTAGTTCCTTTGGCCATTTACTAATTGAGTCATTTTCTGATGTTCTTTCTGTTTATTCTTCATTTTCCATTTCTTTTTCCAAATCAGTTTTGATAGTTTGTGTGTTCCTGGAATTTGTTCATTCCATCTACATATCTATTTATTTGTATATGATTGTTCATAGGATTCTCTCAGGATGTTTTTTATTCCAGTAAGGTGAATAGTAAAGGTCTTCATTTTACTCTATTTTAGCAATTTGAAACTTCTCCCTTTTTCTTCAACAATCTGTGTAAAAATTTGTCAGGTGTGTTGCTCTTTCCAAACAGCTATCCACAATTTCACTGATTCTTTCTATTGTTTTTCTCTTCTGTATTTTCTTTCTTTCCACTATAATACTTCTCACTTCCTTTTTCCTGCATGCTTTGAGTTTAGTTTTGTTTTTCTTATGCTTCAATTAGGTAGCTAGATTAATAATTTGATGTATTTTTAAAAATATAGACATGATTTGTTATGAATTTTCCTCTGAACACTACTTTTGCTGAACCCCATTCATTTTGGTATGTTGTTTGGTATTAGTTTAGTATGTGTTTTCATTTGTCTCAACATGTTTTTAGATTTCTCTTGTGATGCTTTCTTTGACCTAGTGGTTATTTTGGAGTGTATTAATTTTTGTATAAACATTAGTCAGCTTTTCCATTGGTAGGACATAATACTTGACACCCATAAACCACAACCTAAAGGGGAAGAGGTTAAATTTAGCTCGTGGTTTAGGAGACTAAGTCCACTGTTTCTTGACTCTAAAGTAGAGATATCTGCTCACCTCATGATAGCTAGGAAGCAGAGAGAAGGGAAGACAGCCATAGGGACACACCTCTTCCTATCAGGCGTCACTTCCTAAGAGCATTTAGTTATGAATTCATCAATGCATCAATCTAGTGATGAGTACAGCATCCCCATCATCCGATCACCTTCCAAAAGCCTGATCTTTCAACAATTTAGATTATTGGCAAACATTCCAAATCTAAACTACGACAATATATTTGTATATTTCACAAATTTCTTTTTGTTACTATTTTACAATTTCATTCTATTATGGCCAGAGGACATACTGACTAGGACACCCACCTTTAAATTTATTGAGGCTTCTTTTGAGGCCCAAAATATAGCCCAAGTTGGAAATGTTTCATGTTTCCTTGGAAAGAATATGCAGTTTTTTTCTTTGGGAGTTGACTGTTTTCTATATTTGTATATTTGTTTCATGGTGTTATTTGAGTGTTGTATTTCTCTATTAATATTTTAACTCTTAGCGTTTATTATAAACTGGGTATTGAATTATCCAACTGCTATTGTAGAACTGCTGTGTCTCCCAATAAAGTTTTTATGTATGTATTCTAGGGCTTTGCCCTAGGTGTATATATAACTTATATACCTTCTTGATAGATTAGCCTAGAAAACATTATATAATATTCTACTTCGCATTCTCAGTAATTTTTGTCTTAAACTGTACTTTCTCTGATATTTGTAGACATACTCTAGCACTCCATTAGTTGCTTGCATGGAGTAATTTTTTCTATCCATTTAGTTTCAACCTCTTTGAGTATAAATGGAATATTTTGTATACAACCTATAGTTGGATCTCTTTTTAAATATATCCATTCTTCTAATCTTTGCCTTTTAAAATTCATTCATATTTCTATACTTACTGAAAAGGAATGACTTCTAATTTTTAATTTTCTATTTGTATTTAAATATGTCATGTCTTTCCTCCTTAATTTCTCCTTTACTGATTTCTTTGATGTTTCATTAATTTTTGTAGTAACTTTATTTCTTTCAAGTTACCCTTTCTGTATATTAGTAGTTATTTTCTTTGTAGTTGACCTGGAGCATATAATTGTGATATTAACTTATGACAGTGTATGTCAGAGTGATACCAACTTAGCTTGAATATTCTACCAAAATCTTCGCATAGATATGGCTCCGTCTCATGTTATTGTCGTAAGTTACAATTTTACATATTATGTGCCTATCAACATAGATTTATATTGTTTTATGCAATTGCTTTTCAAAGCATATTAAAGAGGATTTGCATGCCAAAAATACATTAATACTTTCTTTTGTATTTATCCATAGAGTTACTTTTACCATGTACTTTATTTCTCTGTTCAGATTGAAGCCTAGTGTATCCTGGAGGACTCCTATAGCATTTCTTCTACAGAAAAATCCAGATCATAGGAGGAACATTTAGTCTAAAAACACACAGATAATATCTGAGATCAGGGTAGAGCAGATAGAAGATGGGAGTGAATTTACAGATGGGAGTTCAGGGATTTCATAGCTAAATTACTTGATTATCTTGATGACAGGGATTCTAAATTCATCTTTTCAGGATGAGGAGGGAAGTATTCAGAGAGTATGACTGAGCCTATGAAAATCTGAAGTAGGAACTGAGTGTAGAAGAGATGATGCTGAGATAAGAAAAGCTCTCATGCATGCACCTATCCAAAGGTAGCATCGCCTAAAGATCCATTCTACCATGTCAAATTCCCAAATTCTTGGAAACAGCTTCTGTTGGTTCACCGGCAGTTTATCCTCGAGTCACTGCCTTTTCTTCCAGTAGGTGGCGATGTGCTGAGAGAGGCTGGTCCCATCATTCCTTGCGGCATAACAACTTGCCGCCATGATGCCGAGCGCCGCTGTGTCTGTGACGCGTCACACTGTGGTCGAGGAAAGGTTGCTGTGTTGAAAGGTTGGACTTTGTGAGGATGAGGGGTTGAAGGAGGGAGGAGACCTTACTGAAGTCCAGGAGTGGCCAAAGACCGCGATAGGACTGAGCGGGGAGGCGAGCGGAAACCGTTTTGACGGCAGTCGCCATTTTTAGCGTTTGTGCTTCTTGAAGTAGGCCTCGGCAGCCATGGCCATTGAATTTGGGGACCCCACCAGCGGCTTCCGCCACACTGAAGTGATGCAGTTCATTAACAATGAAATTTTAATGAATGGTGGCGACCAAGACTTCTATTTGATCTTCCGCTCACGGGCCTGGAAAGACGTCGAGGACGCCCTTTACAATATCTTGGGTGACGAGGATATTCCTCGCAGCCACAAGAGGGCTTGCACCTGGAGCGCGCTTGCCCTAGTACCGAGAGTGGTTGGCAAACAAAGAGAGCAGCACATGCGCAATGTCAAGTGGCTGAAGGAACAACTGGGAACCCATCAGTCACTCTCCTGGGCTTTAGATTCAGAGTTGCAGCAGCTGTGTCAGCAGAGAGACGAGGCGGTCACACAGCTGTCCATAACAAGGTCTGCTTTGCATCAGGTACAGAGTGAGTGTGATATGCTCCGTGGGAGGCTGCTCCAGTTTGAAAGGTGCGTGCCGGTTGGCCCTCTGACCCAAGATACAGTGCCCAACCCACAAGCTGGGCAGCTTGGGGCTACAGCATGGCCCCTGTATTCAGAGCAGCAGAGAGATGTGTGGGCTATGGGAGAACAGGGCAGGGTCTTTTTTGAGACCCCAGTAGCAGCCCCAGCAAGTGCTGCTTACATGCCGATATCCCCAATTTCCGGGTCCCCGAGTTTCTGGGCTCCGAGTATGCCACTGCCTCTGCCAGTCTTAATGCCATCACCCTTCCCACTCAGCGCACCATTCCCAATGGAATTGCCACCCTTGCAGCTTCTAACACCTGCAGTAATCATAGAACCAGAGGCCATAGCCCCATTTCAGATGCCACCTGCGGGGATTTACCCACCTGGCCCATTGTTAGCTCTAGGGAACTTCCAGGATGAGATGGCACCTCTGTGGGACCACAGTTGCTATGAGCAGGTGGAAGGCCCAGAGATGCTACAGGGCTCAGTCCCAGGGGACAACGGAAGCCTCAGACAGACAGATCTGCAGAGGCCCCAGGGAATGTCTGTCCTTGGGGAAAGGGGTTACCATAGACAAGAAGGAGATCCGGAGAGGCCCCTGGAGATGACCCCCCTGGGGCAGAGAAGGAACCCCAACCAAAAAGAAGGTCCATTGTGGCTCCATGGAGCTCCCTTCCTTGGGGAAAATTGGCAGTATAACCAAGAAGAAGGTCAAGGGAGACCCCAGTGGGTGGATTTTCTGGGGGACAGCAGAAGGCCCCGCCAGGAAGATAATCAAGAGGGAGCCCAGCATATAGTATTCCCAGGTTTCAGTGATATTCAGAGCCAGGCAGAAGTTCTAGACAAGGCTCAGGATGTGACACACGCGGTGATTGATGGGAGCCACAGCAAGGAAGGCGGTACAGAATACATCCAGGCCAAGGCTCAGGATGTGACTCACGCGGTGATTGATGGGAGCCACAGCAAGGAAGGCGGTACAGAATACATCCAGGCCAAGGCTCAGGATGTGACTCACGCGGTGATTGATGGGAGCCACAGCAAGGAAGAAGGTACAGAATATATCCAGGCCATGACAGCTCCAGGGACCAGCGGAAGCGATACCCAGGGAGGTGTCGAGAAAGGTCAAGGTGTGATACCCACACAGTTCAGCAGGATGCCGGAAGATGAAGAAAGACCCCAGTGCATGATATCCCTGGGTTTGAAGAGTCACAAACAGGAAGAAAGTTCAGAGAGAGCTCAGGACGCCACTTTGTGGAAGAGCCCGAGTCAAGCTCTGAGAGAAAGCCCTAAGAAACAGCAGCCTCAGCAGCAGAAGACCGAGGAAAACCAAGAGAAGAAAACCTTGGAGTCTCAAGAGCAGAAGTCTGTTTCACGCCGCAGTCCGATGAGTTGGGACTGCCCATGGTGTAAAGCGCTGAATTTTTCATGGCATACAACCTGCTCTAAATGCAAGAAGAAGATCTGTATGCCAGTTGAGAGTGGAGATGTTGACCCAGAACAAACTCAGTGATTTCAAGAAGGTAAGTAAGAATAGAAGCACTCCAAAAGAAATTTCCTAAGATTCCCCCTTCTCATAAAAAGCAATTTACTTCATAGAAAATTTGACACCGAAATATAATTATAAAAATTAGAGAATTCATTATTCCATTATTCAAATTAACTACTTTTTATCATTGTGGGCATTGTGTACATATTTATATTCTCATTTTCTTCATTTACTTGAACAAAGAGGGGCTATGAAGGTCACACTCTGTAAATGGAGATTTCTTCTAATTATGTGTCAATTTTGCAGGCGGTGCGTTCTTGATAGCTGTGACCGACTGGTGCACGCCCTGACGAAGCTGAAGTTGTAAAGCGAAGCCTATTCCTTGTTTCTCATTTCTTCTCCCTTCTCTGAAACAGGCCCTATGTCTGGTAGCAGCCATGTGATTTTACAATTGAAGCTATGTTAAATTTTAGGAATACGACTTTTCTTAACAATGCTGTTGTTCCTTTGAAACTACTGTTGTGTTCGTGTTTGCTTCTTTTGGGGTTTTAAATTTTACAGGTGGGGTCTAGTTTAAAGGTACAGAATATATCCAGGCCATGACAGCTCCAGGGACCAGCGGAAGCGATACCCAGGGAGGTGTCGAGAAAGGTCAAGGTGTGATACCCACACAGTTCAGCAGGATGCCGGAAGATGAAGAAAGACCCCAGTGCATGATATCCCTGGGTTTGAAGAGTCACAAACAGGAAGAAAGTTCAGAGAGAGCTCAGGACGCCACTTTGTGGAAGAGCCCGAGTCAAGCTCTGAGAGAAAGCCCTAAGAAACAGCAGCCTCAGCAGCAGAAGACCGAGGAAAACCAAGAGAAGAAAACCTTGGAGTCTCAAGAGCAGAAGTCTGTTTCACGCCGCAGTCCGATGAGTTGGGACTGCCCATGGTGTAAAGCGCTGAATTTTTCATGGCATACAACCTGCTCTAAATGCAAGAAGAAGATCTGTATGCCAGTTGAGAGTGGAGATGTTGACCCAGAACAAACTCAGTGATTTCAAGAAGGTAAGTAAGAATAGAAGCACTCCAAAAGAAATTTCCTAAGATTCCCCCTTCTCATAAAAAGCAATTTACTTCATAGAAAATTTGACACCGAAATATAATTATAAAAATTAGAGAATTCATTATTCCATTATTCAAATTAACTACTTTTTATCATTGTGGGCATTGTGTACATATTTATATTCTCATTTTCTTCATTTACTTGAACAAAGAGGGGCTATGAAGGTCACACTCTGTAAATGGAGATTTCTTCTAATTATGTGTCAATTTTGCAGGCGGTGCGTTCTTGATAGCTGTGACCGACTGGTGCACGCCCTGACGAAGCTGAAGTTGTAAAGCGAAGCCTATTCCTTGTTTCTCATTTCTTCTCCCTTCTCTGAAACAGGCCCTATGTCTGGTAGCAGCCATGTGATTTTACAATTGAAGCTATGTTAAATTTTAGGAATACGACTTTTCTTAACAATGCTGTTGTTCCTTTGAAACTACTGTTGTGTTCGTGTTTGCTTCTTTTGGGGTTTTAAATTTTACAGGTGGGGTCTAGTTTCTGTATCAGGTTCCTGTCAGATCTGCTTGTTCCTGAAGAAGCTGAATCTGTACTATTGGAAGTTCTCTTCAGAGTTGAAAGACATACAGGTAACACTTTGATTGTGATAGACCCAGAGTTCAGTGACTTCCCCCCCACACACACCCTGTCCCTCTTGGAGCTAAGCAGTGTAAAAAGTCGGCCCCTGGAAGAAGAGATACTTTGGCACTCACTGGGAGACAGTAGAGAACAAAATAGTTTTATTAGAATTTCATTTCTCTATATGTGAGAGCAAATTTGATTAATTTCATTGTACGAATAGTCATTGATTGCTTAGTGTTTTTAGGAATTAGAACTATACAGTATTATCTGGTGTACTCATTAGAGTCTCTGTGGTGAGGTTGAGTAGATGACCGGAAAGAGCATTCTTTGGGATACACATTAGATCAGAAATGTCTTTGCCTTGCATATATCATGCCATGGGTAAAACTAATTGAAGTAACATCCAGATCCATTTTTGTAGTTCTAGAGGGAGACCTGAAAGCAGCTGTCATGAATGGACTTGTGTGACCAAACTGTTCCTCATCTTTGTCCCCAGTGAGACAAATGAGCAGTGGAAAGATCAGGAAAGTAGTCTCATGAAGGCACAGGCTCTGATGCTTTGCTGATTTTCTCTTTTGCGAGTCACAGCTGTTGTTGTGGCTGCCCACCAACTTTCCAGAAAAACCGTTGGTCTTCTTAAAGAAAGACAGTGCTCGAGGGGGTGTGGATTCCATACTCTAGTCCTCAGCCCCAGACTCCCCTCACGCCAAGCCCCTTTTCCATCAACAGTGCAAGAAAAACAAAATGGGTCCCACAGACACATTAGGGCCACTGTGCTGTGCATGGGTGGTGCTTCTCCTGGGAGGACTAATTGGGTTAAAAATAGCACTAGACTGAGGAAAGAATCTGGGAGGTTAGATCCACCGCTAATCTGAACAAGTAGTGTCCCTGAGTTCCTCCAGCTCACCACGATCAGTCTTTGCCGGAAGTTTTCTGATCCTAAGTAGGAATAAATTCTGCATTTGTGCGATGTGTCTTCTGGGTAGCGTGGGCAAGTCTTGGTCCAGGCTGTTGGATAACAGGGGCTGAGATGGGAAGGTGGCAGGTGCTTCTTCCAAGGCTGGAGCACTTTATGGCTGGGGTCTGACATCCCTCTGTGTACCAGAAAGCCATTTTGTGAGGCTCCTTGAAGTCCTTGACATCCCACGAGCCGGTATTTCCCTCCTTTCTGCCCTCCAAGGCAGTATTTCTTGCCACCTGTGCATAGCCCTGGTGCTTAAGATTCTGCAATGCAGCCAGACCGTGTATAAATGTATAAATTCATTTTAATTTTAATTTAATTTTTAAATTTTTTTGACACCTGGGATTGAACTCAGGCCCTTGGGCTTGTGAGGCAGGCAACGGAACCACTGAGCTACATCCCCAGCCCAGCAGAAGTAATTTTTAAATTAATTGTATTGGTCCATTTTAGGTATACAATATAGTGACATTCATCCTTGGAGATTGGTACCTTTACATAGTCTATCTTGGTTCTTATTTTTCCCCATCCGTCTGCCCTTTCTTCAACCCCTCTACCCCTCTCTGTTTGCAAAGACTTTGTTTCCATTTTTCCTTTTCTCATATTAATTCCTTTCCCTCTTTCCTTTCCCCTACCCTCCCACTTCCCCTTCCCCTTTGGACCTTTTCTTCCTATTTCACAATACCAATCATACCCTTTGATCCTTATTTACACTTTTACTTTCTCACACCAGAGAAACTATTTGGTATTTACACATATGTGCCCTATTTATTTTTTAAGAATATCACCTCAATGTGCATCCGTTTAGCTATCAATGTCTCTAATTTCTGTTTTCTTCACGGCCAAGTAGTACTCCATTTTAGAAGAAAGAAACAACACATTTTCTTTATCCAGTCTCCAGTGGATGGGCAATTGGGCAGTTTCCAAGGTATAGCTGTTACAAATGGTGCCGATACAAACATGGGTACATGTATGTCGCTGTTGTATGATTCTTTTGTTGGGGGGGTACCGGTGATCAAACACAGGCCCTTATGCTTGCAAGGCAGGCAGCAGAACCACTGAGCCAAATCCCTGGCCCTGTGTGATCATTTTAGTAATCCAAAAATTCATTTGGAACTGGGTGTGATCGCGCACGCCTGTAACCCCAGCACTCGGGAGGCTGAGGCCAGAGGATCACTGTGAGTTCGAGACCAACCTGGGCTGCCTGGTGAATTTCAGGTCAGTCTCAACTACATAGTGAGACCCTGTCTTAAAACAACCAAACAAACAAACATAAAAAAAAAAAACAAACAAAAAATCCCAAAATTTCATTTGGAACCAGAAGAGACCTAGAATAGCAAAAGCCAGCCGAGGCTACAGAGACATGGCAGCAGGTATAACAATTCCCAATTTGAAACTGTACTACAAAGCCACTGTGATAAAAGCAACATGGTACTGGCAAGGAAACAGACCTGAGGACCAGTAAAACAGATTAGAAGATGCAGAAACAACTCCAGACACACTCAGCACCTCATCTTCAGCAAAGGAGCCAAACACCCTCATTGGAGGGAAGATGTCCTCTTTGATAAATGGTACTGGAAAAATTGGGTTTCGTCTTGCCAAAGATTCAAACTAGATCTGTATCTCACCGAGCTCTAAACTAAAATAGAAATGGATTAAGGATCGAAATATAACACAAGTATTCCATGAGGCTAAGGAAGATATAGACTAGTTACTTGCTTGGCACAGGGACAGGAACATGCTCAGTGCCCTTAGACTTGTGATTATGGAGTGGGCCTTGCTTCCTCGGGAAGGGAGTGCTGGGAAAATACCGAACACCCACCATTTAAAGGAGGAGGAGTGTATTGGGACGGTGCAGAGGTTTCAGTCCATTGTTGGCAGAAACACCAAGGTGGAGGGGCATGGCAGAGCAGAGCTGTTCACTTCCTGGGAGCAGGAAGGAGAGTATCAGAGAGGACGCGCCAGGGAACAGCTGTGCTGCCCATGGTCACGTAAACATGCCCCGTATTCTCCAGCTTGGCACCAGCCTCGTAGTAGCCCAAGCACTTCTGGAGGAGTCTGAGTCAAGCCAAGCTGACGATCAGTATTATTCAGTGCAATATCTCTCAGTGACGTCAAAACCCAAACTAGGTTGCTAATAGTTCCTTGGGAATTTTGCAATATAGATGAAACTTAGAAATGTTCTAATACAATTTTTTATATACTAGAAGGACATTCTACATCTCACTACAATTGCTTTTTTTTTTGAGACACATTCTCACTATGTAGTTGAGACTGACCTGGAACTCACTATGTAATTCAGGCTGGTCTCGAACTCACAGAGATACTCCTACCTCAGCCTCCTGAGTGCTGGGATTACAGGCCTGCACCACCGCACCCAGATCCACATGTAAAATTTTAAATGCTTTACTCACTGCATTTTAAAAGGTTAAACAGGCTGGTGTTATATCAATGATACTTTATTTATTTATTTTTTTTGAGACAGAGTCTCACTATGTAGTTGAGACTGACCTGGAACTCACTATGTAGCCCAGACTGGTCTGAAACTGACCGAGATTCTCCTGCCTTAGCCTCCTGAGTGCTGGGTTTACCGGCGTGCGCCACCACACTGAGCTCCACATATATAATTTGAAAGGCTTTACTTACCCCATTTTAAAAGGTTAAACAGGCTGGTGTTATATCAATGATTCTTTCTTTCTTTCTTTCTTTTTCTTTTCTTTTGAGACAGGTTCTCACTACGTAGTTGAGACTGACCTGGAACTCACTATGTAGCCCAGACTGGCCTCGAACTCACAGAGATCCTCCTGCCTCAGCCTCCTGAGTGCTGGGATTACAGGCGTGCGCCACCACACTGGGCTCCACATGTATAATTTTAGATGCTTTACCTACCACAATTTAAAAGGTTAAACAAGTTGGTGTTATATCAATGATTCTTTCTTTCTTTCTTTCTCTTTTTTCTTTTGTTTTGAGAGGGGTTCTCACTACGTAGTTGAGACTGACCTGGAACTCACTATGTAGCCCAGGCTGGGCTCGAACTGACAGAGATCCTCCTGCCTCAGCCTCCTGAGTGCTGGGATTACAGGCGTGTGCCAACACACTGGGCTCCACATGTATAATTTTAAATGCTTTACTCAGTGCACTTTAAAAGGTCAAACAGGTTGGTGTTATATCAATGATTCTTTTTTTCTATTTCTTTTTTTTTTTTTTTTGACACAGGTTCTCACTACGTAGTTGAGACTGACCTGCAACTCACTATGTAGCCCAGACTGGGCTCGAACTGACAGAGACCCTCCTGCCTCAGCCTCCTGAGTGCTGGGATTATAGGCGTGTGCCACCACACTGGGCTCCACATGTATAATTTTAAATGCTTTACTCACTGCATTTTAAATGGTTAAACAGGCTGGTGTTATATCAATGATACTTTATTTATTTATTTTTTTTTGAGACAGAGTCTCACTATGTAGTTGAGACTGACCTGGAACTCACTATGTAGCCCAGACTGGGCTCGAACTCACAGAGACCCTCCTGCCTCAGCCTCCTGAGTGCTGGGAGTACAGGCCTGCACCACCGCACCCAGATCCATATGTAAAATTTTAAATGCTTTACTCACTGCATTTTAAATGGTTAAACAGGCTGGTGTTATATCAATGATACTTTATTTATTTATTTTTTTTTTCGACAGAGTCTCACTATGTAGTTGAGACTGACCTGGAACTCACTATGTAGCCCAGACTGGTCTC